GTAAAGCGTTAATCACACAGAACCCATTAATGAAGCGATACTGAGTAGAACCCTCAGGATAGCCTATCGCGTTCACAGCTTCAACCTCATTTTTGAAATCTACTAAGTATAAGTATGAAAACATAAGACCAAATGATATGTCCGTGATATGTGAAGAGAATAATTTGCACAAAAGTACACCATGCCCCACGACACCAGCCACAAATACTTTGATCATAACATTGTTATATGGCAAAATTTAATATTAATAATAATTGATGTCTTCTCTAATGATGGGTATTCAGTCTGGTAATCTCTAGCTTTTGGTATATTAATATGTCGCATGCATTGTAGTCAGCTGGAATTAATTTTACTTCAGTGGTAAAAGATTGCTATTAATATTAACACATCCTGCTTCACCGCATTTTTTGTAAGACTGTAGGTTGTTTCTTTTTTTTATAAATCCATGCAACCATTCTGTGAATCGCGAACAGCGTTTTCGATCCAAAGACCCATTGCGTCTCCAAGAAGCCCAGCAAGTTTTTTGTTAATAAAAGAAGTATTGTTTAATTTTTTCTGACGTGTCTTTTGGGGTGCTCCAGTTAATGCTACTCCGGAATTTTTGGACAGAAGAATTAATAAATTGAGCACTTGACAACTCCACATTCAGAATTAGATAAAAGACTTTGTTAAGGCTTGACTATATATAATTAAAAGCGTATACCTTTATACAATAATGGTTCGTTTATCTATTATCCTTTTTTTAATTTACCTGTTACTTCAACATCTTTCGCGAGGGCATTTTAAATATGACAGTATCGAGGGATTTACATTAACTTCGTTATTAGTTATATCCAAATAATTATTATCAAAAATTTCCGCGCAGCAAAACAGCTTCGCTATAGTAAAAGTGTTTCTGTGGATATGGAGGCCAAAAATAGCCAGTATTACTATAGAACTATAGTTCAGTTATAGACAAAGCCTTAGCCTCTTTAGCTCACATGATCAAATAGGGTTGTATGTATATGATTTTTGCCATTAAAAATTTACGGGCACGTGATTATTTATATATGTAAGATTTGAGTTAAAAATAAATTTAGTATAAATTAAAATTTGTTTCTATAATTTCACCCACTGCAGTCATGTGTCCGTAAATTTTTTGATGGTGATCCTGGAGCAGTTGGGTTATATGTTCAACAGCAAAGTTACGTCATGAAAAAATTTTTTAATAAGGAAACTTCTACAACATTCTACTGATCTACAAAAAATTGATTCACGCGCAAGATCTTGTACTTGATGGAACTTGATGGAATTTGTTTGTGTACCAACCAATCAGCTCTAATTTTATAAAAATTTTCGACCCGACCCGTTGTGAACAGAAAAAATTTCAAATCCGATCTCTCATTAGCATCTCCTCCAAAAAATAACGACAGCTATGAACCGTTTGGCGCGATACGTTACTAAATCACAACTTCCACGGTTTTCCGCTTCACTTTCTGGTATACCAAGGCAGACCTCTGCCCCCTTCTTGGCGCGTGGATATGCTTCACATAAGGAAATCAAGTTTGGAGTCGAGGGACGTGCTTCTTTGCTTAAAGGAATTGATGTTCTTGCAAAGGCGGTTGCCGTCACGTTAGGACCGAAAGGTCGTAACGTATTAATAGAACAAGCATATGGTAGCCCGAAAATAACAAAGGACGGAGTAACCGTGGCGAAAAGTGTAACTCTCAAAGACAAGTTCGAGAATTTGGGTGCAAGGTAAATAATCATGGGCGTTTTCTGGGAATCTAGGAGCAAACAATGTTTCAGGGCTTTATTGTTTTAATTATTTATCTGATATTAATCTATCTTACGATGCAAGTAAAATAATAAAAGCTTGAATTTGGTTTTAATTCAAACGCATTTGCATCGTTTTTATTCTTAGCACAGTATTTCTATGGCTCATGTCTTGTTTGCGCAGAATTGCCATTTACTAACGGCAAGCGATTTTTATTTAACAGACTTGTCCAGGATGTTGCAAATAAGACGAATGAAATTGCAGGGGATGGTACCACGACAGCCACAGTTCTAACCCGCGCAATTTTTGTAGAAGGCGTAAAAAACGTTGCAGCAGGCTGTAATCCAATGGATCTTCGTCGCGGCGTACAACTGGCTGTTGATGCCATTGTGCAATTTCTGCGAGAGAATAGTCGTGTAATTACCACGAGCGAGGAAATTGCTCAGGTAATGAATTCTACTTTGGTGTAGTATACTATTGTGTAATCAGGACTGTCATCATTGTTTGATATCTGATCGGGACTGGCTGCATTTATTTCGTTCTAGGTCGCTACTATCTCTGCAAACGGTGATACGCATGTAGGACAGCTTATTGCCAATGCAATGGAAAAGGTCGGAAAGGAAGGTGTTATTACAGTGAAAGAAGGCAAAACAATTGAGGATGAATTGGAGATCACAGAGGGCATGCGGTTCGACCGCGGTTACATCTCACCATATTTTATGACGGACACGAAAACGCAGAAGGTTGAATTTGAGAAACCTTTGATTCTTTTGTCCGAGAAAAAGATTTCTGTATTGCAAGATATCCTTCCAGCATTAGAAGCATCTGCTCAACAGCGTAGACCACTTCTGATTATAGCGGAAGATGTCGATGGAGAAGCGTTGGCGGCCTGCATTCTCAATAAATTGAGAGGAAATATTCAGGTTGCGGCTGTCAAAGCGCCTGGATTCGGTGATAACCGTAAGAACGTTCTCGGTGATTTGGCTATTCTCACTGGTGGTACAGTGTTCTCTGATGATTTGGATATAAAACTTGAACGTGCAACTCCCGACCTATACGGGACAACTGGATCGGCTACAATAACAAAAGAAGATACGATTTTACTCAATGGGGAAGGTTCCAAAGATATGATAAATCAACGCTGCGAACAGATTCGTGCAGCTATTAGCGATCAATCGGTTTCTGAATACGAAAAAGAGAAACTCCAAGAGCGTCTTGCTAAGCTTAGCGGAGGAGTAGCGGTAATTCGCGTAGGTGGTGCTTCAGAGGTAGAAGTGGGTGAGAAAAAGGACAGGTTTACTGATGCGTTGAATGCTACACGAGCTGCAGTCGAAGAGGGAATTGTACCTGGTGGTGGGGTGGCACTACTCAAGTCTACTCGATGCCTAGACAAGTTGAAGCCGGCTAACTTTGATCAACAGTTGGGGGTAAACATTATTAGATCAGCATTAGTAAAACCAGCAAAGACAATCGTTGATAATGCTGGTGAAGAGGGAGCTGTGGTTGTTGGTAAGTTGCTTGAAGAACACGGTGATGACTTTAATTATGGATATGATGCTGCGACAGGAGAGTACGGAGATTTGATTGCACGTGGGATTGTGGACCCGCTCAAAGTTGTGCGGACTGCGCTTGTGGATTCATCAGGCGTCGCCAGTTTATTGACGACAACAGAATGCATGATCACTGAATCACCCGGTGAGTAAATTGCCGATTATTGGGACAACAATTAAGTGTAGTTGTCATATTTACACTTGTCTTTATTTGTAGAGGAAAACAAAGGTGCCGGAATGGGAGGCGGCATGGGAGGAGGCATGGGAGGCATGGGAGGCATGGGGATGATGTAAAAACTTTGAACGCTATTAATGCAGAATAAACGTTGTAGAGAACATTTTTTCATTTAATAGTTAGAACGACTAATAAAAGACGTCATTACATTTCGCTTGTTATTAAAGTTAATCTGGTTACCGTCTTTCACTCTACGGTTTAAGGTGTTGCCTAGTAAATACTTGATTGTCAGTATGTTAACAACGTGGTGTCTATCTGGTAATCGAACCATTCAACTGATTATATGAAAACAACAGCGCCTGCTAAAAGCGGATGCTAGTATCATGAAAATGCCTAATTATAATACGTGTAACAATTGCGTTTCGTAATAAATGAGCGAAAGTGTTAAAGAAGTAAATCAATCGACATGTCTCTTTAATTTTAGCAATATCATTAGCGGGGTAGAAAAGCCTCATACGTTTTTCTGATTATATATACTTAGAGCTGTCTATTCACGCGAATTTGTACTATGGACGCGTCACTTAATGTACTGTTGCTATTACAATGGCCGCAGTAGAAATAGTTAGCGGCACAATATACAGTAGTCTACACTAGTGCGTTTATCAGCAAATTTTAAAAGTTCAAAACCCAACCTCTTTGAGCTGTTAATTGAATTTGTTGTTCCAACACTTCTTGCGAGTGAACTTTTCCCCCACACCACTCTAACTAAATATGGCATATTTTTTTGAATAAGAACTCGGAAAGGATCCAATCATATTCACCCCGCACCAAACACGTAATAACAAGTATTATATCGACATTATCTAATAAATATTATATTTTTACATTTTTTCCGGTGGGCTTGCGAACCAAATCCTTGTCATTTAGAATATAATGCTTTTTAGAATTAAAGGTCTTAAATTTGCTTTGTTTGTCTTGGCATGCGGATAATTTTACCACGTGGCGTTTTTGAAATGTTCTCAGGGGTCAAAGTCATCGATACGAACCCAAATATGGAAATAAGTGGAACCGAGAACCGTGTTGTTTTAACCGTTTTAGCAATTATTAAACCCTGCTCACGTCCAATCGCCAACCAATAATCTTATTAATCTAAGGGGCCGAGTTAGTTACGCTTTATGTTGTCCAGTTATCAGAATCTTCGATTCGTGCCGAACTCTATACCTGCTCTTAAAACTTGCACTGTGTGTTGAAACAATGGAAAGATTTACGGGACCGCGTGGCTATGCTCGAGACGATTACCTTTTTGTCTTGCTGCATGAAACATTCCAAATGTAACCTTGGTCTATGTTTAGCTTTTCATAGTTAGAATTCTTTGCTGTCATTGATCACATTAACCGATTGAGGAAACCACTTTTTCATTGCTAATATAAGCATTCCGAATTAGGTAACCTCATATCTGTTTTGTAAACAAACAAACATACATCCTGTTTATACAACCTCTCCAATCTGTCGTTCTTTTTCCTGTCTAATAGTCCAACCATACCCGATATAAATAAAGAATTTATTCTTTACCGCCCACAACTAACTGTCAGGGAAAAGGTGTGTCTAACTACGGAAGCTTAAAGACTATTTATCCATAACGGACTATATTGCGATTTAGACGTTACGGCATACCCTATATCCATAAGCGAGAGAATAGATAACTCGGCTATATTTCCGTAGTGAAGACCACTTAAACATGACAAGACTACAAGACGATAACTCTCCGGTTCCGCTAAACATGATAGCAACTAAGACAATATCAACTAATGACATGAAAAACAACAATAATGAGACCATAATGACTACGACTACGACTACTACGACTACCACAATTACAACAACCACAACGATGATATCAAAGAACAATGGAAACCCTAATTGGGGTATCGACATTACTAATGTAAAATTCCCTTTACCGAACGCGGCTACATCTATTGCATATAAGAAAAACTTCTATGATGGAATTAACACTAAAAATGACGAGAATAATACTACTTCTACAAATACAACTTACGAAAATAGAATAGAACTTAGTGATAATAACAGTCCAGTTATAAAAACTGAACAACTCAATAATAACCGTTTGCATCCAATAGATTCAACACCATCAGTCAAATTCAAAATAGATGATAGACTTTCACCCACCGACGTTCTACCTAAAACTCATTTGTCAATCAGTAGAGATGAAAATATCTCCAACATAACAAACATTAAGCGCACCGGATCGATGCCTTCTTTTTCTGCCACCAAAGGATTGGGCAACGGCACTAAGCCTACTGCCCTATCCGCATCGAATCAATCCAGACATAAAAGAAGACATACTATGGTTTCAAATCTAACTGAGACGCCAATACAGTATTTAGAAAGAATGCGTTATACATTGTCAAAACTGGAACTGATTACATTGTTAGCGAAAAGGTAATCCATTACATTAAAATGCGTCAATTTAACATTTCGGTCTGATGATTCTTATCACATCCTCTCATTGTTACCAGTAAGGATGTCTTTCACGAAGCAGTTTTGAGAACGTATATGGATTTATTTGATTTTCGGGGGGATCCGATTGACCTTGCATTGAGGTAAATTTTGAATACTGCTAATCTATGACTACACATAAATAGATATTCATCCAGACCTGTCTCGTTCTGACTTATAGGAAATTCCTCATGGATTGTTGCCTTCCTAAGGAAACTCAACAAATCGATCGGATGATGGAAGCGTTTGCCAAACAATACCATGAATGTAATCCGGCCCTGTTTCCTTCTCAAGGTAAGTTCGATCATAGTACATGCCTGTATCTACCAATCGTCGACTTTTACTTATTATTCTCCTAACGTACAACTTTCTCGACAGATACTGCATATCTTCTTGCATTTTCTCTGCTCATGTTGCATACGGATGCGTTTAATGAAAGCGTAAAAAGAAAAATGACAAAAGAAGAATTCAAGAAAAATGCAAGGATCGATGGAGTTGCTTCCGAAATATTAGATATTTTATATGATAATATTACATTTGCACAGTTTATTTATGCCGATGACGATACTGATGTAGATGGAACGCAAATGTTCGCTACACCGTCCGATCTGATACAGTCAAAAGCTAAGAGAGTAGAAAGATCAAAAAACAATCCTTATTATGTCATTCAAAATGTAAATGTTTATATGCTTCGAAGTTTTACAACTGTAATCTTGGCATCCATGTGCTGAACGTACTTGTATTATTAATTATTTATGTATATAGAAAGTGCCGACAGAATTCACTCCTTGCATCAAAGACACCGTCCCCAAAGAAAACCCGTATTCATATAAAGGGACACTGCCGGACCTAGACATTGATTACCTTCGCAAAGGGTTTACATCAGCTCGCACGATTAGAATTACAGGTATTCCTGCTCGTCAAGAAACATTCAATCCAACCGCTTCTGTAATACGCCCTCTTCAAGGTGAAGCCGGAACATTCCTGTTGAATATAACCAAAGCCGGGAGGCTATTCAGAAAAATCGACTTGGTTGAGGGTGGAAAGCAGGCAACGGGGTTCGGCAGAAGGTGGAAACAGTTTGGTATTATTTTAAGCGGAAGCCAACTAATGTTTTTCAAAGACGTTGCCCGCTTTGATTCCAAAATGGCTGATTTTAGGGATACTGAGGTAAGACACTAGGAATCAAAGAGAAGCAATTTGCAAGTTTCTATCGGGCTCTTTCGTGTTGGCTTAACGTTAAAACTTTACTATATTCAGAGTTCCGCTAAATGTCCAGTTCTGAAACCAGACGTCATATTAATGACAGCGGACTCTGTCGCGCTATATGATAATAGCTATACCAAACGCTCAAACGCCTTCCGTCTCGTGTGTTCCAATGGCTATCAATATCTTTTCCAGGCAGAATCAGAACAAGAGATGAATGACTGGATTACCAAGATTAACTACGCCGCAACTTTCAAGACGGCTGGCATCAAAATGAGACATTTACGCAACAGTAATCGGGAGAAAGGGAGACAGAGAAGATGGGAAAGGAAGAATAATATACAGCCATTCTTCGATTATCAAAATGGAAGCCATTTTGAACATGGACCTTCTGATACAATGAGTGACACTTTCGGCAGAAGCGAGGTGTTGAAGGTATTGCGATCGGACAATATGCTCTTTTAATTTCTGTGCTCTTGTCGATTTTCATAACACATCTGTCCTTCTTATCTAGTCCAAGATGGAAGATCTCAAAGGCAAGATAACTACGCACACCTCCCAACTTCATCAAGATATTCGATCTATAAACAATCTTGCAATCATGATCCCTTATAAAGTCGCTACTCGTGATTGTATAACCCAGACGACTATCACTGTTAGCAAACGCATCAGGACGACTTTTCTAGAACTTAGCAAGCTTCTCTGTTACCATGAAATACTCGAAAAAGACCTCCACGCTACTATGAAAGAAGATGCTGACTGTTGGGTTAGAAGCAAGAAACTCATCAGAAGATCGACTCAAAATATGAAGTCGGAATCTTGTCAGGGTACCAAGTCTGAGCTATTCAAATATAACACTATCAGAGATTCATATCCGCGCTCAGCGAGTTCAAGTAGTTTGCCATTTCTGGACCTTCAATCGTCTAAAAGTACTGAATCTCATCACACAAGTTCATCCGATGAGACTACACCCGAAATGTATAATCACGCGCGCAACAGCTCGCCAACATTGTCCACAAAATTCAAAGATGAAATTTTGAGTTTTGCTGATGTAACATTTGAGGAAGTCCATGATAGAGACAAAGAAGAATCTAGTGGAGAGTGTGGTGAAGGATCCATCGAAGAATTTCTCAGCGCCGAGGAAAGTTAACTTCAACACTGACTTGGGCACGCAATAATGATCCAATTTTTTAGGGATGAATTAGCAGGACGAAAATCGGAATTAAGCGTTTCGAAGTGATAAAAAATTTACGAAAGAAATTCTAGTTCTTTTAAATTAATTTTTTTCTCATAAACTGTTTCGGATCAAGCTGTATATTAAGTAAATAACTGTTTATTTGATACTTCGCCATCAATTTGTACTACAAAAAAGCAAACATCTTTGTTTGAGAAAAAGTCAAAACGCTGAGCGAAATGTTAAGGCGCTCGCAAACAATGAGCTTTCAAATATGAAATCATAGTGGTACTTTGTACTCGCGCTACAATCAATAAAGACCTGCAACACATCAGATGAATAAAAGGCTCTATTTGATGATACTTGTTACTGGGGAGCACTCGGCTTGGGTTAATCGATACTTTTTGGTAAGAATTTTGTGACATCATCAGCGGATTATCAAAGCAATGTAGCGCAGATCAATATTCATTCACTCCCGCTTTTGGAATGCACGGGGCAGGAGGTTAAAACTGATCGAAAAATCAAAATCCGAGACTTGACAACGGCAAGATGTCAGGTAAAAATAATTTAGCAAAAAAGCGTAGATTCACAAACGCTTCCTTCCTGTTACGTATTAATACTAATATGGTATCAATCATCAGCTCAACCACCTACACTTACACCTACACCTACGCCTACACAACCATGTAAGGAGCCGCGTACCCAAACCTCACGTTATTTTTATCCGCGAATCACTATAAACTCCTTCCAGACGATAATCGAACCGGAGAAAATGACTCCCCAAGAAAGAAAGGCTCTGTTTGTTACACACACTAAAGAACTCAATTCGCTTAATGTTTCTATTCGGGCGCTTCAATTTTGGGCCGAGCATGCTCACGAGAAGTCTAACGGCATCTTCTTGGCATCTAAAACTTTCCTATCGGTTCCAAGTCCACCAATGTCGTGTGGTGAATTACAAGATATAGCCTTTTGGAATGCAAATTGCCAGATGCGAACAATTGATACGGGTCGATATATGTCATTTCGATTTCCAGATACAATTTACGTTACTATAATCCCACAGTTGGATGACTCGTCAAATGTATTGTCAAAAGTAATGCAACATACAGTAACGATGACAACTATTTTGAGTAATCGTTACGAAAAGGAAAGCATATTTTCGATCATTGCAGTTAATTTGCCCATGAAATTGATGAGAGTGGTAATTGATCGAGCTACTTTGAAGTATCAGGTCATGTTACCAGACGCTTATCCTTGTAAACCAGATAAAGAAGTGCATATAATTCCCGAGGCTGACCTGACTGACCTGAAGAGAGAACGAAGGAAGATCATTAAAGAGTTGAGCGACGATGACGTTGAGCGAGAGAAGATAAAATGGATGTATCGCGATTTTCGCGACAGATTGCACGAAATCCGAAGTGGGTTTGATCTACCGTTTGTCATCTGCTTCTCAATTGTGGATGCACAGTCAACAATCATCTGGTTTCGGCAACGAGAACAACCTGAATTGCTACAATATCTTCCTGGATTGTCTACGGGTAAATTAGAGAATGCACGGACGGTCTTTTGGCCGCGTTTTGATCATCCACCGGCTGTTAGGCTTCCATTAATATATTGCAATAGTAACGGTTGTCACAAAAACCGAGGAGAATGTGACGATATTGATGTTATGATTACTTTTGTTGATTATCAATATCGAGGACAGTCCGAACATGAAAAAGAAACTGCGGATCTAATGATATGCTCGCGATGTAAGAAAGCACAATACTGCAGTGCTGAATGTCAGAGAGCCGATTACAAAAGACATAAGATTGTTTGTATTCGGTCTAACTAGATTCGATATGCGATCAGGACGTATGTACAGTAAGAGTAAATACGGGGCCAAACGACTGAATGCCACCATTTCACTCACCATCAACGAAGTCAATAAACCGTAACCATTTTAATTAACCATGCAATATTTACCTTACCTCGAGATATTTAAAAAAAAATAAGCAGAATTGCTAATTGAAAGGTACATATGATAAGTACGAAAAAGAGGACTACTATTCGAACAACGTCTGCACTTTCTTCCCCTGTAGAATGGTGTCATTGTTTAATTATCCTGCTGCAACTATATAGTATTGTGTCAAAGTTTGAAGCCAGATGCATAGACAACTTTATATCTTTATTATAGAAGAGTGAAAATTATTATTACAGTTATTATAATACAGGATAATTAAATGCTCCGGATATCCAAACCCATCTAAAATGCACTATATCTTTCGCGGTTAGTCACTGGTATGTCCAAAAGTTACTTTTTCAGGTATCATGGTTTGTTATGGCATTGCCAGGGTGAGGTTTGAAATGCTGCAACAGTCTCCCAGACTGTTAGAGTTACTCAATTTCATAATAGAAATGGCATATTTTAAAGATAATGTTACCATATCGTCTGTAAAAATTCAACTTACGGATAAACGTGTCTATCAATTACTGTTGCAGTTATTAATAAGAAACAAGATGCGGTTTGCTTATAAGCGCTGAAATTTCATCAGCCAGTGTGGTGGTCAATTGTTTCTCGGTAACTTTTTACCATAATTTTCTATCATTAAATTTTTCTCTTTTGAGGCCATTCTTTTAATATCCTCAGATAATTGCCATCACTGGTGCTATTTGGGGACAGAGCCTGAATACCCTTGCTGGCTTATTGAGAGATGTCCCTAAACTTTTCTTTCTTACAATATACTTTGTATGATTTATATAATATTGTGATTAAATTTTTATATAATTTACTCACTAATACTCATATTAATATGGAATAATCAAATCGTCATTGCCAATAATAAGTATAATAAAAGAGTCAAAATCAGTAAACGTCATACGGAATTGGATAATGAATAAGAAATCAGAAGAAATCCAGTGTGGCGTAACGCTAACGCCCAAACCCCGCCGACGACGTAATCCTAATGCTAACCAATTCAAAATGTTATATAATCCGCTACTCGTTACTCTCTCACGAATTTAATCAAAATGCGTGATAGACAAGAATACAAGGTAATTGAAAGTCGTTCTACTCCAACAGAAACGTATTAAACGATTGTGAATTTTAATAGGATCGCGTACATGCTGGCAATGTTTTAGCAGACGCGGTTGCACAGAAATATAATAACGAGAACAATGACATTATCGTTCTTGCGCTTCCAAGGTAATCTACATAATAGCGACAGAAGCGGTATTCACAGAGTTGATATCATTTTCCAAATATACGCAGAGGTGGTGTTCCTGTGGCTTATCAAATATCTCAGAGGATCAAGGCACCTTTGGATGTATTCCTCGTACGAAAAATAGGCGTCGAAGGGTAAGGCGCGAGATTTCGACGATCGCATTGTTTAAAATATCGTATGCTGTATCTAAACACTCGCTCGAAACATAGACATGAGGAACTGGCTATGGGTGCTATTTCGGAGACTGCCACGGTATTCAACAAGGAAATCATTGGCCGAATCTCTGAAGAATCAATTCGCAGAGTTATAGCAAAGGAGGCAGGTTTTGTCGTTGAAAGAATGGTTTATTAATGACAGTACGACTTAATTATACGTGTATACTACAATTAGAAACAAGAGCTTCAACGCAGGAATTTGATGTATCGAAAAGGAAAGCCTGCTGTTAATGTTGGTGGGAAAACTGTAATACTTGTCGATGGTAACGAACGCATCTTGTTTGCAGTAATTGTTCGCTCTTTCATACGGTTCTATAAAGCTGCGTTTTTTAGATGGAATTGCAACAGGGGCAACTATGAGGGTCGCATACAAATCTCTTCAAACACAGTAAGCTGTACTAAAGTTGTATTTACGAAAATCTCTCAATGAAGTGTATGCATTTATGTTTTTTAAATCAAGGAAACCAAAAAAGATCGTTATTGCAGTGCCAGTTGGTGCACCAGATACAATCAATGAGATGAAGAATGATGTAGATGATGTAATCTGTCCGTTGCAACCGGCTTTTTTGATGGGTATCGGTATGTGGTATATGAACTTTAATCAGGTAAGCGACTAATTAATAGCAATGATTAAGAAACACAATAGGTCTTGCTAAAAATCGACACGTGATCTCGCAGACCGAGGATGACGAAGTGCTCGAGTATTTAGCAAAGGCCGAATTACAATTTCCTGTTCCAACTGTGTTCCCCCACGAGTCCGAAAAGCTCCAGGAGAAGAACGTTATTGAGGTTGAAGCGAGCAAGGGATTATGAAGCATCGCGGTATAATACAGCCTATAAGAGATTAATCGATATTATGCCTAGACGTATTGATAGTCCTGCATTATAACTCGTTTTATAAGTCTTCTACGAACGGTGCAGATAATACAGTAATAATGAACTGTTACTATCAAAAAGAAAATGACAAATTTGTCGCGCACACATGACAATATTTCGAATTTGAGATAGACGTATTGATATTAACCGCGCTTACTCTTTTAACATATATTCAATTCGCCAGTCATCCCATATGATGTTCGCGCTTCCTATATCAAAATGTCTTTGAAATGCTACTATCCTCTTACATAATGGTGACAAACGTAAATGGATATGAAAAGAGCTTAATAAATGAAGTTAGTTGGCGATTGCATAATAATAAATATAAAGGGTTTTACTAATACTACTTAAGCGCCGACAATAACAAATTTTCGCCAGCATTAGTTTGAAATTATTCTTTTTTGGTAGTTTTTGTAGGTGAAATGTCCTTAATATAATAATAATAATATTATTATTATTATTATTATTATTATGCGCCACGCGACGATGAAAATTGTAACATGGCTTGTTGTACAAGTCACATGAAATCACGGAGGGTGTGCTTGGGAATAAGCCATGGCGTGCATATGTGCCTTTTTTTTCCTTCTTTTGTTTTGCCATTATTTCCTTTTTTCTTTTATTTTTCTTTTATTTTTCTTTTATTTTTCTTTTTTTCCTTTTCTTTTATTTTTCTTTTATTTTTCCCGACGCGCGCAAAAAAAATTTCGTTTGAGCCGAGTAAACCATACTACCATAAAAAGATTCTTGGAACGTAAAAAAGTAAGTCAATCTTTGCAACATGCTGGCTTCATAAAGCTTCAGTCACGTATGTCCCTACTTATACTGGCGTCTGGCCACTGCGTCCTGCGTCAGATGTTTGGTGCTTTCCTGTAGGATGTCCTTGTACATACGTGTTCATTGCCGCTCCCTACATGCTAGTATCCAGGATGTATTGTGTATACCTACTAACGTATGGCCATCACGTCCTGCGTTAGATGTTTGGAAACACCCTGTAGGAATGTCCTTGAGCATACGTGTTCATTGCCTCCCCCCTAGATGCTGTTTCCAGTATACCGTGACTTTTGCAATGCATCTTTTAGCAATTTGTTGTGTGATGATACTTATTCTTTCAGTTACTCATTAATATTAATGATTTTACTATTTTACTTATTACTGTGTATGTGGAGATTGAGATGTTTGAATCAATTATAAATGAATATCTTGAAAGTGAAGCTTGCAAGAATTGGTCAATTATTGCCATTCTAGAATATATCAAATCAAAATCTCGAATAACTGCTGATATGATCGAGGTCGTGAAAGAAGAAATATATTCGGCTTTACAAATCTTTAGAGACACTCACAATGTTCATGTTCATGTGAATGCAAAAAACAAAGCAAGAAGAATTTTAGCAAGCTTTGAAAAGTCATTTGCTTCAGTTGATGTAAAGCTTTTCATTCATGAATTAGAATTACATAATGAAAGAAGGGAATTTCATCTTACAGTATGTCGGAATGTGACATCGTCAAACACCTTACAGGCATTAGAGGTAAGATTTAATGTAATTAAAAAAAACACCATTATAATTACAATAGTTTTAATGAAAATCTTATAGCAACATAGATCAACCAGAAAAGCAATTGAAGAAGTATGTAATACAAATGTAGATACAGCTATTTCCTCTGTTGATGATGAATCTTACCAGTACCAGGTTATTGAAGAAGAAAACAGGTTACAAGAGGTGCCAAAAATGTCCAATATTATATTAACATGTCTAAACAGTAATAGTTAGCAACTTTTACAAACTCCATTTTCCTCATCCAAATGTTGACAATATCATTAATATTGCATTGATATTATTCCATCATTATTCAGAACATTCACAAGCGGTCATTTACTGAATATGAAACCAACAATCTGCATCCCTTTTATGATGAGTCAGAATTCAATATTAATATAATTTTAACAATGGAAAAATATTGTAAAAAGCAAACAACTTCAAAGTTTGAGTAAGATTTTTTATGCAAATCCTAGATCAACAATTACATGTTATGTGCTTTCAATAATTTTTGATTTGTCACTCCTTTGCAGTTTAGCACATAACTATATTCTTGATCTTACACCCAAGTCAAAAATAGAGAGATATTTCGAGCCAGAAATATGGGCAAAGCTTATAGCTGACCGGCCTGCTACAGCGAAACCTGAATATTATAAGGAAATTGAATTCATTTGTGATCATCTATTTGGTCCCCCTAGTAAAAAGGTAATCATTTTAATTTGCACATTTGTTACAGATATTTACGTCCTTATACTTATAATCTGTAGAAACCATGGACACTTAATCAATATCTGTGCATTTGTTACAATATTCACATTCTTGTAATTTTGTAGAAACGATGGAAACTTAATAAATATCGTGAGAGATGGGCAAGTTTAAGAAATTTAGAAATACCAGACTATGATGATGATGCTCCTTATGAAAGAGGAGATTGGGAAAGGATTTTATATTGGGCAGAACGTGCTGTTGGATCATTGTAAGTCTTTTGCTTTGTGTTTAGGTTATGGCAAACCATCTCTTTACTATTACTTAGTATTTTAGTCTTAATGCTTTTGAATCCGAGCATAACCCTATACAGCAAAATGATTGCGGGGAGAGAGAATGGTTCGGAGGTTATATAGTTCCTATATTTGAAGGCGCCTTGACATTAAACTCTATTTGTCGTGTTCCTTGGTAAGTCATACATTGATTCACTTCCCAATTTTAAATTCAGTATCTGAATTTTCATGGATTTTTTTAGGGGAGAGGTTACAGTAATTGCAACCATTCGAAGAAAAAATCATGACAAAAATGCGTTAGAACATCAGGTTGAACGGGGCCATCTAGCTGACTTTGTGTGTAAGATCAACCAACAAGAAGTTGTCTGTGGTTTGGCTTGTGGGGGACCTCATAAATACGACCATACAAAGTGGGAATCTGATGAATATCACCTTCCAAGGATGCTTAAAGATACATTGGATGACATGCTGGAAAATTGCCGAAGTAGAAATAGACGCGCATCAAATCTTTATACTATTGGAATTCAGGTGAGATTTTCACCCTTCTTGATGACTAGATAATCTTGCGCTAATGTATATATTTTTTCTTGAATCAGCAATATATGACGGAGATACGAATATATATGATGGAAAAACGTGACGTATATCGATTCCACCTCTTAAAATCGTTCAATCTACCCCTCTCTCATGCGTTATTTAGCAACTTACGTTTTGCTCTTTCATGGGCATGGAATATTAAGGTTTGATTTAACTTGTTTAATTACTCGTCACGTTGTCATAGATTAAAAGTACTTCTTCCAGGGTCTTGTCGAACGGCTATCGTTTGAATTAGAAGACGGAATGATTGTTTCCTCCAGAACTCCTGAACGCGATCCGCCCGACGAAATGAAGACTAATACAACGCCGGAGAGATCGAAAAAGAAGAAAGTTTGAATGCTTTATATTGCAATCTTTGTCTCTTGAGTGTAAAATTTTGTAACAAATATTTGAATGTTAACGGATATGTGTATGTTTTGTTGTGTGAACTTCAAATGACTACGTTTTGGTTGTACTGTTCCATTCCGATTAATCACGATACCGCATGGTGTTAGCAATTACTTGTTTAGCTGGCTTAGACATAATACTTGTTTATAAACAAAAATGAAACCATTCATGCGATGAGATGTTTATTCCCCTTATCAATCAATAAATCATACTTAACATTGTGTGTCAATTTTTGCACCACACACTAACAACAGCTACGCTTAACATGCACGTAATAGTAATAGTTATTTGAGCGTTGGCGAAAATCGATTTCGCGTTTTCGAAAAGTTGAATAGTCAAATTTAAAATAATACTTAATATTCCATCAATCCTTTGCACACACATGGACAACAGTTACCTTTAACATGCATGTAAATTTTATAACACAAAATTCTTGGTTGCTGATTTAGGCTTTCTAGCAATGAAGATTGATGATAATTGATTTCGCGTTTTCGAGATCATTATAGTTAATAGTGGGATAATTACAGTCTATATAGATTATAATCCCATTTAGTCCGAACTATAACCATCCTAAGACGATGAGTTTGCATCGTCATTTGCCGAGGAAGTCTGCTGAGGTGTTAGATGTAAAAGTCAGCCGCATACGAAGTGACTATGAGTTTGCATTTGTGTCGTCATTCGAGTGACGACAAGTTTTTGATTGCATCGTCATTGCAGAGGCCAGTAAAGACAAAAGACAAGTTTATTGTCCAAGTGATGACGAGTTTGTGATTGCGTCGTCATTGCAAGAGATTTTTCTGTAATATTTAAATAAATTTATGGAGAGCAAAATAGTTTACGTATCTCATTCATAATTAAAGACCGATTAAGAATATATTGCCATTCTCTCTTTCCATCCCCTATTCGCACTTGAATCCGAACTTAATGCCAATTTCTTTCCGAGAATAGTAATGTGTAACGGGTTTTTATTATTAGTTTTGCACCAAGTAAGATATTCGTAGCAAGATGTATCCAATTATAAATTGAATGTAATTGGGATAGACTGGAGATAATTTCTGGCAATATCGTTTATTCCTTCATCAGCTGTATAGTATTCTTCATTGGAGCTTAGATACGAAAGCATCTCATCTTAATCATATTTTTTATGCCTTCAATTAACGTCATGAAAAATATTTCATGGTGACGTTTCATGGTGAATTTGAGCTCTTTTTCTATGAATTTTTGGCGATTCAAGGTGTCATGTTTTTTACTTGATTATTTCTTTACATTTATCACTATTGTCACTATGAAAATAAAGCTTTTAGGAAAAAAAAAGATAAAACCTTTTTTTATAACCGATAATATACTTTTGCCAGAGGAGGAATATTTGTGTGCAACGTAAATAAAAAAAGTAAAAAAGTTCGAATTTTCATAGAGACTCGCGGTGACGTGATGACACTTGTCTAGAAAGGACTCCGACACTCTAGAAACATAAAAAATATAAAAAAAAAACTGGTTAACTTCGTCACCATGAAAATTTTGTGTCACCATGAATCGATTATATCGACAAACAACAAATTTTCAACTCTAACGCTTTAAACAATCACGTCTTGCATATAAGGAACAATTTCACGACGATACTTGTCTCCTTATGGATTTGTATCCAGAAATTTCGCGTCTTGCTCTTACGGAGGACGAAAGGACGACCCTGTACGTGCATTTTACCAAGAATCCTGCCCAGAAAAAAGAGGCAGTTGCTATACTGTCAATATATAAGGATGACAATGCGAGGATTCGGTATCTGAGGGGGCTCATAGAACCGCAACCAGGTAACGATTTTGTGACTCGGGCGTTGGAGACATAGAGTAGTGTGTACTAGTATGTTGTATTCAATTTTGCCACGTCGTTACTGCGCCACCCGCTGCATCCATTATTCGCTCCATCCGTCATCTGTGCTCGTCGCGATTCCATCCGCATCATCTACCCGCTTTCCTGCTAACCGCTTGCTCTTGTCCATCATAATTACCATCTACTCTTGAACTATTAGTAATATTAAAAGCAAATGCAAGAATTAAGGTTCAGCAATTGCAAAAATTAGTCAAAAAAGAGAAACTCCAGTCAAGCACTTATTACTAAGATAGAAATTTCAGTTAAGTAGTTATGAGAGAACTACTCTTTATTTTTACAATCTTAGAGTTAGAGAAATGACATAGCAGTAATTCTACTTATGTTTTTTGCTCTGGTTTAAAAAACGCAGTTTGTCAAATCAGAACGCAAAGTAGTGACTGGAGAAATGATTGAAAGTGATAAGCTTATGAAAGTTGTAAGAAAATAATGAATTGCCTAGATTATAGATGTAGTTGTGAAAGACTGGTTTGGTTGCAGCACGCCCCATATTATTCAGGGTAGATAAATTGCCTAAGCTACGAAAAACGTGCACCGAAGAAGAGCTAAAAATGTCAACATTTCCATTGTTTTCAGGAATTTTTAATTCGCCGAATATAAATAATTCTTGGTAAATAGATTATAATAATTGTTTTTTTGAAACTCAATCAATGTTAATTGACAGTTAGCAATTATATCAAAACTATACAGGGTGAAATTCAAGCAATCTCGACAAATAAAGCACGGAATGAAGAACATAATCTCTTCATGAAGGCCACAAGGTTGACATGAAAAAGCCCTTGGTCGAATAAATTTGAAATAATATATGGCGAAATTTTCGGTGGGTTGACTTCTTTCGGTTCCTGTGGGAATATGTGGACAAAGTAAAACTTATAGTGATGTTAAGGGATAGTCTGAATCAATTCTTTAAAACTATTTGCACGTAACAGACGAACAACGTAAAAAGTTAATAGTCTAAGGTTGGTTGCAAGTTAGTAAGTTTGTTCAATGTGATATTCAGTATATATTAAAAATATAGATTAACATTTTAAATTTCAGGAGCTTTTACGCTATTACTATGGATTGGATTGGATGCAGAATATACAGATTTGGTAAATTAGATAAGTGCGAATTACCGGTCGATGAAAGTGATTTAAGCATCCTTGAGAATGCGTACTGCATTCTTAGGTTGCTAGAGGCAAATCATTATACGATTGAAAAATCAGAAAAGGGATTATAAATAAAAAGACTAGTATGAAATTTAATATACTATCACTTATTATTTATTAGTATTTAATCGGCGTGTTAACATATTAATATGGAATCAATGTAGTCGAAATCGCTTGAATCAGAAAAAATCGTAAAAGAAATCTTACGAAATAATACGAAAAACAAAAGACGACGTATGATGACAGAAAGTAATTCTCACTTTAAATAAGAACCGAACTCCTATTAAAAGGCATCGTTGTCCGTGCAATAAATACCTATGTATTCATTGAAGTTAATAAAGTACTTATCTTTATGTCCTGACCCATTCTAGGATTTGACCCATTCTAAGAATGGGTCAGAACTTTATTACACTATCTTTACTAAATCTTTGCTACCTCTTTCATACCATAGAACGGAAAACAGATACACTACTCGTAGCGGCAGTTGCGGCAAAATTGAATTCAGTTTTAGGTTATATGTATGTCAAAAAGGGCGAATAGTAAACTTAACTATTTGGTTCATCTAACGGCTGGATTGGTTACGGCTTGCATATGATTACTTCTATGCGATAGATGACTCAACCGTTGATATGACGGGATACATATGTAAGGTACAATAAAGAATTTGCACTAATACTAAGAAATAAAAACTAACGTTTATATTACAGAAGAGGAAGGAGGAATTAGTGAAGACTGGCTGGAGGGAGGACGCATAAAGAAGCAATTTACATCTTAATATTTTGCTGTGTAACATAGTGTAATGACTATTCTACCTTTGCCTCGCATAAGCATGGGTATTTGATTCCACGAGAGCCGCCTCCCGAAAACCAGCCCACCCAGCGCGTTCTCTCGCCGCATCTAATCGTCTTCTTGTGTGTTGTTTGAGCTTGCGCTTGACTTTTCAGTAGCCCAGCATCTCGAGTATGCTACAAAGACACGTAATTTTGATTTCCGTATTTGTCCACGTGGTTGGATATTTACAACCAATAAAATGTATCATACCAAAAATCTTTTCTTCCTCTTTTTCACATCTAACTTGAGCAAACGGTATGTGTGGTTATTACTGGTAACCACTTACATTTGGCAATATAGCTTGACTTTTCAAATCTTTGTCCTAAACAGATGACCAGTCTTCCTCCCGAGGTTGTTGCTGAAGTTGGACAAGTCCGCTTGTTTAATAAGTGGAGTTTTGACGATGTAGAGGTCAAAGACATATCATTGACAGACTATATTCAGATCCGCAATCATGTATATTTGCCCCACACAGCTGGTCGCTTCTCCGTGAAAAGATTTAGAAAGGCACAGGTAAGAAGACCGAACAAATTATGAAAATAAATCGATGTTTATAGATCGATCCATAGTTTCTGTCCCTATGTTTGCAATGCTTCAATTATTAACCAATATCTCATACTAGTGTCCAATCGTAGAACGTCTAACAAATTCATTGATGATGCACGGGAGGAATAACGGGAAAAAGCTTATGGCTACCCGCATCGTCAAACACGCATTTGAAATCATCCATCTACTCACCGATCAGAATCCTATTCAAGTCCTGGTAGATGCTATCATCAATACCGGGCCCAGAGAGGATTCTACACGTATTGGGAGTGCTGGCACTGTTAGAAGACAGGCCGTGGATGTGTCGCCTTTGAGGAGAGTTAATCAGGCTATTGCTCTCTTGACCATCGGGGTGAGTTTATTACTGTCTTGGTGAGGAAGCATGTTATTGCCAACAATTCTTGTGAGAGTATTGATTAAATATCGTTTGTTGCTATAGACGCGTGAATCAGCATTCCGAAATATTAAGAGCATTGCTGAGTGTTTGGCGGATGAGCTCATAAACGCCGCAAGTATGTATAATCTGGATTAGATGAACAATCTTTTGCTCAATTAACTTATTGACATACAATTCTGTAGAGGGGAGCTCAAACTCGTATGCAATCAAAAAGAAGGATGAGTTGGGTGAGTGATTAAAAGTTGGTTGAATCGGATAGCTCTGATTCGTTAAAGCGTAATAATCTTTATACTAATTATAATACTCATAATTATACAGAACGTGTTGCTAAATCTAATCGTTAAGTGCAAGCATGGTATTTTCTCATGTTGTACATTTACATGTATTTTTGTCTACATGATCGTGCGTTAATACAAAAGGATGCAAACCGACTTTTTTTTTCAATGAGTTGTACCAAAGACCCCCGCTGTTTATTCACTAGAACGAAATATAATATATTCTTGGATTGCAAATTTATCCGCCATAACGAAATGATGTTCTCCTATACATTGATGTGAATTCACAGTAAATTGAATTCATATCGCTAACGCTGCAATGTACATAGAGCTAATCCAGAATTATAGGATTGCTTGTCATTCTTCTCCGTTTGCGTGCCGAACAAGCTACGTTGGTGAGCTATGTTCGGTGATTGTATTGGAGTGCGTACCGAGTTCGATTTCGCAAGAAAATTCAATGTTATTCCCACAATCTTGATATTTTACTTCAGATTATTTCACTTACATGTTCTACCTCACTTTTAAAGGCGAGCATTTTCTAATGTTCAATTAGTCAACTTATTATGTCTATTGTGAATGTAATATGGGAGCTATAATTTATCTACAGTTGTAATAGAGTTACACAATCTCACCACGAATTTGAAGATACAACATATATTCTTTGATTATCATAACGCTAGTGGTGCTTTTCGATTTTTTCACCGAGCATACCTAATGCCGAATATGATAGAACCAATAACCCAGTACCAACCACGTCTACTATCGCCGTTCTAAAACAATTCATTGAATTAATCAGAATAGTCGACAGGAAGATAAGTAAATTATGCTTTGAAATTACTTACATGTACGGCATAGAATAATTATCAGGATCATATTTGTGTCTCCACAACCATAATGTCAAATTCTTTGTCAGAACGAGGGTAAATAATACCTAAATAAGAACATCGCGTCAGAATATTGTTTATAAGTTAGAACGCTAGTATTTAAAAATAGCAATAGGATTAATTCCCGTCTCCTTTTGACCACGACGGTATACTATTGTCTATTCTACATGTATCACTTCCCCAACACCAATTGCACCAGCTTACACAAACAATTGAATCCAGTAAATATATTACGCAGAATCCCAACGGTAAATGTCCGAGATCCAACCACCATGCAACTAAGAGAAATAGGATTTCGATTGGTATATGGATAAGGAATAATGTTTTTTCTGATGACTTGTAATCCTCTTCAGTACCGCTGTGTAAACGGGTTGATATTCGTGAAGCGTAAATTGAGCCAAGGTTGCCGGCTAGCCCTTTATGAATATTAGAAGTTGTAAAATGCGTATCTTATTAAACAAACTATTGATATTAAGCAAATATCGTAAAGATACCATTCAATACAGGCGTTAGCACGGCTAGGCCTTGGTACATTTTAATATATCTTTCTAAAACTAAGCCAGCAATACTGTCGGTATAAAATGATAAGGAAGAGTTACATGTTAACGAGTTATTCGACCGCATAAGTGAAAGACAGACGTTACCAATTTTACCTTGCAATTATCATTGCTACGAATAATGGAACCCAACCGTTAATTAGTAAATCTTGTACATATTTATTAGTCCATACGAGACGGGCCCACAGCGGGATACTGAATGTAAGAATTACGAACATCCAAGTACTCATCCAAGTAACTAGACGGCATGACAATCAGTTAGTCGAATTATCTATGCATGACGGAACTCTGTGAAGTGAATGATAACTTACACATATACTTTTGTAGAAAGTCACTGCAGACAGCCAATATAATTAGAGTAAGTAAATCTCCCAGTGCTGACGCCATAGGACATGCAATATTATCTAAACAAGACATTCAGAATTAGCATCTTCTCAATGACCGTTTTCCCACTCACGCGATAACTCACCAGGATTAATTCTAAATTTCCTTGACACGATAATCAAAGCACACATAAATGTTCCTAGTATCATACTACTTAATGTAGCACATATCATGCTCGCTACAATGACCAGCATACTTTCAAAATACGTATTAGCGTGAGGATGGAAAGCCAATTCCTCAGAGAAAGAGAAGAAACCCGCGACCGCGCCTACAATTAGAGCTTGAACTTGTAGGAGAGCAAGATTGCCCCAGATTAATGCGTCCCGGGCTGATGCTTGATCTAGTTCACCCAAGTTCGACTTATGTAAAGTAGACAGATTAAATTTTGACGGTAAATAACATTTAATGTTATTATCAATTGACTTTCTTAATTGCATCACATTCTCTGCGAATCCTATACTGTATATTATAGCTGCAACTACAATATTTCATTGTATCACATTCTTTGACACTCTCCATCCCAATTCAAATCAATTCATACCGAAGTCGACATTCTTGAAGCCAAGTTCATCTCCAAATTGCCCTTTAGATTTAACAAAACCGGCACCAGTATAAACAATTCGTTTATTCGTTTAAAAACCTTCCAATCCTGAACAAAGAAAATAAGAAATAAATGTCCGTAAACAAATGATGAGAACTTTTGCCACTTGCAAACACAGTCCGATTACTTCCAAGAGTAAATTAGGTGACAGAAAAATACGACAACACGACCGTTTAGCGAGAATTCAAGCGTTTGACGTACAGATTACAGTTAGTCACAAAATATGTTACAGATATTATTCTTCCAGTCACAAATTTATTTACAGCGACACCCTCTCCCCTCTTCTAACCGGTTCTTAATCAATCACCTACTTGAACGACATCCAGAAGCCAGCCGGTAAACATCAATCCTGCTACAGATATTAACAGAGGTGGCATTGCCTTGTCAAGGTAGGAAGCATAATGGACATTACAAACACAGTTTATAAAGAAAAAATAATTTAGTAAAAACGGTTTAAAAAAAAGAAAAAAAAATTAGACGAGCGAACAATGAAAGTTCGCGATAGTAGCTTTCTTTTGACTATTAATATCCTCGATTATGTCGTCATGATGAGTATATAACACGCTCATCACATGGAACGTATAAAAATAAGTGATCGCCATCCAATTTTTTACGATTTTCCAAATTACCAACCTCTAAAGCCAAACTCCTTTCTGGTCTACTCTCGCTAAGGCCGTCGTGTAATATAATCTTTTGTTTCTTCAACTTTGCGGCCGAATCTTCTTCATCCTCGCCCAACTCGTCACCACTCTGAGATAGTTCTGTATAATCTCTTCTGGATGCTTTTGTACCACGATTTATCCGCTCGATAATCCCTGATGGAACTGCCTTATGCCATTGAGCAGGAGCGGTGATGCTAGTACCGTCTTCGAGACTTTGTAGAGAGTCGAAAGTCGTGGCGGCTGGTTTTAGAAGAATGTGGTCCGTTGAGGACATTGGAGTCGGGGTGGGTGGGTCGTCATCGGAAGAAGAGGTGGTTATTTTTTCTAGTTCGACTATGTTGCGTTGGGACGAGGGAAGTCGCATTTAGAAAAGGAATTTAGAAAAAAGGGTATGAATAAAGTTGAGGGTAAAGCGTATAGTTTTGTCTTGTGTTGTATTTGAGATAGGGTTTGTGCGACTAATGGGGGGTAGATAAGCCACGAATTCTCATCAGGGTGGTTGTCTATTCCCGAATAAGTTAACTTGACTCATACCAGGTCTCACTGAATGTGCTTACACCGAAAGAATGAGAAATGCACACGTTACATCTGTGATAACATTGGATGGGGTTTAAAAGAGCACATCGTTATCGATGAAACCAAGCCCAAAACCCAAATATTATTATTATTCTTCTTTGCAGACTTAATAATTGTGTCATTAGACACACTACCGGCAAGAGAACTTTTTGATTACCTGTGTGACAATGATAGAATGTGCAACGGTAACCTTGAATTACGAAGTAGGTAATAAAACCATTCATCGCCTGACGATCGTCAACAAAACTTCACTCACGGGCCGCACTAAACGTGTAATTGACACCCCAAATAGGCAGGCAGGTTTAATTATCGCGAAACCTGTAAGTCCTAGTAGGCGAACTCGATTGGCGTAACTTTCTGAAAACGAATGGCTTCTTTCAACACAAACTAATATTTACCATTCGTCTTTATGCTATTATATCGTTCGTGACTTGATAACTGTGCAGTATTTCCCATACGACATTAAGAATGCGGCATACCAACGGTTGAACACAGGCAATCATGACTGTGAAATACTGTAAATCTTACACAATGCCTCCCGCTAATATTAATCAGGACCGATAATCTTTGGCTTCGTATTCGTGTGAGTCCATATTTTAATTTCGACAATTTATACATGGCCAAATATGTCCCTGAAATTTAACCCTAAATATCAGTAATAATAATGCAAGTCCAAAAACAGAAACTCTGTGTAATTGTGAGACTTTGATTATGTTGTCCAACAGACAAACACATTTGTGATGTGTCATGAGTAATAAATCGGCCTCTTTACCGTCTAAAATTTTTTATCTCAAAGCCTAAAAAAGAAGGACAACTCCTTCAGCCCAAATACTGAGTGGAGCGAAAATAGTTGCTAGCGACTAGCAAGCTTGTAAGCTCTTCCCATGAAAATTCGACATTAAATAAAGGTCTCGCCCACTTGGCCAATATATCACTAATATTATTAAACGTGTTTCTCAAATGTTAGTAACGATAACAATATAATAGAGCACCAACTATTTCAGTGGTGTGTTGGAAAGTGACTATGATGTGCATTACCGCGAGAATCAGCCACATAACCACTTTTCCAAACGTTCCGAGATTACCATCGATTACTAAATGACACTTCGGTATTTCTCAGCAATGTCTAAAGGTTAAACTTTCAATTTAATTAATTCTATTCTCCTGATTCTTGATCGTCGTATATCTTATTACTAATGCAGTAATGCATATTGGACATATCTCCCAAAAAATCAATTTACATGAAGAAACTTTATAAAACCAATTTCAATTAGTCCCCCCCCACTTGCACGTTGGGTAATAGAACATTAATCGTAGCATCAGTTTCTTTATTATTTTGCATATTTAATTTTATTTCAAATAGTTAGAAATTTATCTTTATTCCCTTTGAGAATAGCCCGAATTTTATTACCTACCTAAACTTTTATCTTTTTTGATTTCAACTTTGCCGACAAGATAAAATTGAATACTATCGCTGAAATACAACCACACACGCAAGACTTTTCGACCACCCCACGTAATCCTGAAATTGTCAAAGCTCAAATGGTTGCTAATGGTGCTTTTACTGAATTTAATTTGTTAAAAACTAGAAAAGCGAATGTTTCTGAAATTACCAAAGAAATGAGTACCTTTATAAAAATATTCGCCCATTTGTAAAGGATGAATTCAAAGACATTACTTGTCCAAAACCGACATAATATATTAAAATATAATTTATATTGCAATTATAATAATGATATAACTGTCTCATGTCAACTCCCCAAGAATATGAAAACCCTCATTGACTAAATAATTGGTTAAGAATAAAAACCAAACAAGAGACAAAAAGATTTAACTGGGGGTTAAAGAAAACATTAAAACCCTTTGTTTTTTATTCAACAAGTGGTAATAATATAAACTAATTCTTAAAATAAATGATAGCAGAAAACTCACCTGATAATTTTCAACAAAGACATATGGAACACGGAAAAAAGAAATTAGTTCAAGTTAGTCAACATTGCAAATAATACGTATTAATATATTAATGGATGATAATGAAATCAATAGTAAAGCCCGGCCAACATTATATTATTATTATACTTGCTGCATTATATACGTGGATGCTGGATAAATAAAGAATAAACCTGACATTTCTATGCTCTAATCTGTACTTTATGTGATAAAATTCCAGCTATGCTTCCAATACCACACACTGATTAAATGCCCACCTTCATCTAAAAAGATGGTTTGCCGACAGATGACAAGAGGTGAAAAGGAATGCAAGAGGAGAAAGAAGTATTAGTTGTAGACAGATCTTGCTTATTGCCTTTCAAACGCAAATAACCCAACCTTTGCTACGACTCTGCTCTATATTGTCAATTTATGAGAAGTAAAGAGCATGGTATCTTCATACCATGTGATTGAAGCAAAAGATAGATCGGCGGTTGCGTTTTTGATAGGTCGGCAAGTACCTTTTTACTGATACCTGAGGTTTATCCGTTGCGTATTAGCTAATTAATCCATGATGTCAGACGAATAAGAGTAATCTTTGATATTCCAAGATCTCTCCCATCCTCTTTCTATGACTAGACATAACGTTTTCTCAAGACCGTATTCCCATTGAAGTGCGTCGCGCCATTTGAAATGTAACCCGAGCATATTTAACAATAATTTATTCATTAACTAATGAGCGATAATAAATATATCATAAATGTATATACTGTAACATTAGTTATACTGAAATTTCTCTACTAACATTAAATACTGAAAATTACTATTCTGAAGCCACGTCACTAACACTTTTCTGCGAGATTCTTCAATCTTTTCAGCAGAATATGATAATTCCTGGACTCTAAATCGGTATTGAAGTCTCGGCGGCTGTATAATATGTGGCTTCCTTAACGCGACGTAATTTAATAAATCCCTCACGGATTAGGGCGTTAACATATACGGCTTTGGGACTTCAAACGTGCGTTTCTCAAAGAGCGTCGAGCGCGTGCGGAATAACGAGCATTTTAACGAAAATAAGAATACGTTTCTGACGTAGTGATGAACCAATATCAAAACTTTGAATGACAGAGTACGCCCAAACGCCGTTCTTTGTATGACGAGGAAGAAATTATTCCTGCCATTTCCTTGTCTCGATGGTTGGTTAATACGTATATGTAATGATCCATTTGTTAGAATATATCACCCAAATATTTGCCTAATGCCATTTATTTGAAATTGTATAATATTATAAAAGGTTTAACGTATACCCGTGCTGGTAACACATCCGATTTTCCTTACCAATTTCCGTTATTATAACTCATAGCATGATGGTGCGTAGTCCATGAAATTCTCCTATGCGATAAGGGAAGTTTTCTCCAGGGCAAGAAATGAACATTAGAGATTTAGGTATATCCAGCTGTGATGATATTGCGTCGACTGTTTCTGGGTTGAATGGACATTGGATAAACATCTAGAAGCAGCAACATTAATAACTTAATATTAGTAAAATGTAATTATAATGGTGAGCAAATATGACAACAAAACTTAATTTAGTCCGCTCAATACCAAGTCAATTTGGATTTTTGGATACAGCTAAAAAAAATATTGAAACGACGTTAGTTTAATATTCATTTTGAAATACATCGAGGCATTCGATTTACCTCATCGAGTATTCGATGATTGGATTCCAATCGTGGAGGTATCTGTCACGGGAAAGTAAAAATTTTAAATAAAATTCCTTTTATAATTCTACAGTCATCTTTCATTTACCTCATCAATATTGGAATACAAGTGTATAAACTTGACGGTGCCTACGATAGAGCAAACTGTCAACATGACATTACTGTTAGATGTCTACACAGTAACATAGATACCTACCGGTTAATTCATTGTTCTTGATGTACAATATGACTATATGTGGTATATAAGCCGGTAAGTACTCTGTTGTTATTTATTACTCTATTACAAATCGCGTAGAAATACCTTTATTCAAAATGTGAATATCGTCCGTATTAGTGAAAAATATGACGGGTTGCTGCTTGATGCTTTTTATCATCCGTATTATAATATCACCAATTTTATATTTATGAAGAACTACGATTTTGTCCAAGTAGAAAAAGGTTGTCTGTGAAAACAAATAATACCGAGTAAGTATAATATCGACGACTTTTAACAAATAAGGCCAAGTGATAATAAGTGACCGCCAACTTGACATTCAGTTATTGTACTGTTCAGTCTCCCTTTTAATTGGCAGCACGCACACCTTTAATATCCATATTCGATTCAGCATAATCATCATTACTCCATATATGGCAGCAAAGTATATGAAGAAATATTTTGCTAAACTCGGATCGATTACGATGTTCCCAAGTAATGTAATAAATAAAGAAGCAAATCCAAACATCGTTACTCCGGTCGAGACCTTTATCGGACGATATAATCGATGTCTCTTATACTTTAATAGTATGTTGCCAATAGCAAACATACACAACACGCTCAGGAATGACACTGCAAACACTCCGGCTAACGAAGTGACATCACCATCAAGAACCGCATATAAGACAACACAGCATACAAGAAACCCAAGTATGATAAAATGCTTGGTTCCGGTAATTGAATTACGTATAAGGAAGAATTGAGGTAATATCTGATCTGAAGCCATACGTTCAACGAGGCCGTTGACACCAATAATACCCGTGAGTACACCCGCGCCTAATACGATAGCTGCATCCACAGTGACTAATATCCTTAGCCAAGAGCCTGCTGCATATTCGCCCAAAACAGATATGATGTCTTCAGGATGCTCATTAATTACCCCCAATGGCATTATAGCGAGAGTTATCAGTGTTAGAGGTGCGTTGATCAGAGACACGTTCACCCACATATTACGCATGGTTTTCGGAAATACGCCTGGTTTCTGATCTTCGATATAGTCACTTGAATGCTCATATCCAGTAATACCAAGTAGTCCAATGCATACGCCATAAAAGATTTCCGAAGCGACATTCTCGGATGGATTTTCATTCCAATTAGCAGATAATACGCCATTCCCAATGCTAATCCACCTTACTACCCCGGCAACCATTAGAATGCTCAACACACAGTTATGAAACAGAAAAATTGCCAAAGCAACGGTCGCAGAGTCCCTTATTCCCAGTAATACTATCCCGGCAAATACACACAGTACGCCAATAGTCATCCAGAATATCACAGTCTTCCCTAGATTCAGATAACTCCCCGCATATGCAGTGGCAGTAGCCGCGCTTACGACCGCCGTGGCTATGTAGTCCAATATCGACACGGCAGCAGCAATGGCAGCAAACCACTTTGGAGCGGTGTTTAACAGACAGTTGTATGCTCCCCCGTTCAGTGGGAGTGTCGTGCCGACTTCGTTGAGGATGTTTTTAAATGGATATATAATAAGGGAGACTATGAGAAGTGATATCGGTGCGTATTTACCAGAAGTCGCTATCACAACTGCTATTGTATAGAAAACTGATGCTATAAGATCGTTTCCTGATATGCTGGTTGCTCGCCATTGGCCGAGAAGAGTCCCAGATGATGAACGGTCTGATTTAGAAGGAGAATGGAGTTCGAGAAAGGATGTTGAGCCCCAGCTGAAAAAAAAAAGGCAAGTGAAGTAGAGTGAGACATACATATATTTCAAAAATTGCGATGGATAAAAATTATGCATGTTTATATATTGCGGGCGCTAGGAAGTGCTCTCTCTATCAATTGAACAAGGAATCAATCGAGAGTTTGCATTCCTATCATGTCTTCCCATACCCAGCAAACTCCCACGCATTGCTTAAGTTAGGTGTACGAGATGGTACTGAACTTGTTTTCAACATGTCATCCGATTTGAGCGTCGATGCTCCAAGTGTAGGCTCCAAATATCGTTGCCGATGTTCCGTTTGTGGAGATGAATTATCGACACTCAAATCTGTCATTTCAACTGTAAGTGAAAGTATGGATGTAATCAAGAGCGTAATGAGTGCAATTAGTCAGTTGAAGTAATATAATAAACGTTAGAATATATTTTTCTTGCCAAGTGTGAAGATAAGCTTATAGACCATTTCTCATACTCTACTCTCTACATACCAGTATTGCTGGCTTTGTACGATAATTGAGCGAGTGTAGAGAAGTTATCATTGTTTCTTTGCGGTGCAAATGTGATCGTATATTCTGCTGGCTCATCCGTCTGCACTACGGATTTTTCGGACATATTGGCAACGAATATTCATTCCAGTTTGACATATGTTTTTATTTAGTTGCGTTACACATGTTGACAAAATCTAGTATAACAAACAGAAATGATAATATAACACTTGCAAAATTTTGACGAGAGTTCAGGAATACAAGACTTGCCTACCGATTCTGCCTAATCCATCCTACGTAGACGAATTTCCCTTCACAGAAATTGATTCATACATACAATATACTGTAGGCCTGTAGATGAGCTAATCACGTAATAGTAATGACAGTAGACAAATGAAATCAGTATGATATTGTTGTTTCCAATGTTCTGTAGACGTCCCATAATGAATTAATCACGTAATAATAATGACAGTAGACAAAGAAAGATATTGTTACTTTCGAACATTCTATATGGCGCATTCAGAAACCGGCGGCCTTGATTTGACCTTGCATTGTCCACAATAATTAGTAAAATTCTCTACTGAGAAAGTTGCAGAGAAGACAAAGTGAACTTGTGACGTCGTTATAAAATTTACGATCACTACCATTATTGTCGCTTCATCTATGGACCAACACGCTTTTGGCGCATAATAATCAGCACATAACATTTGTAGCACTTGACTCGTAACTTGCGATTTGTCTTAATTTATGCGCGTACTATTATTGATATCTATGGACTACAAATCCACTAATTTTCGACACTTTTAAAGATTCCCTGTTACTGTCAGCTGAAAAGTACATCAGGCTTGCTTACTTGCATAGTAAATACGAACAATATTGTTTTTCGAAAAAGGACTTTCCTATGTTTATTAATAAGTAAATTTCAAAGAATGGACATTTTTGGTAAGGAAAAGCACTTCAATTGTCACATTTTTTAACCGAATAAGCTACATAATTTATGTAATAATATGTGTTGACCCATTCTCAGAACCCAACAACATTATCATTATTTTGATCCTTATTCATAACATCTACGATTGAACGTCAAAGATCCTTTTCCTTTAGGGAGAAGTCTGATTTGGCTTATTCTACGAATCTTCTTCGTCTTCTTTCTTTCCTTTTCTAATGCATATATTTGATTTTAAAAAATTTTATATTAAGAATATCTGCAGGAATGGTTTATAAACAACCAAACCGTTCGTTACTAGAGAAGATCTTAAATAAACTATTGGTCAATGGTGAAGAATTGATTGAGAGCCACTCCTGAATAATATTTGGAACACGAGGTCTCTTTTCTTGGCAAGGAATTTGGATGTAAATATGCCAAAGGTTAAATATTTTGAATTGATTCATTCAAGCATTCAATCGCATCAGTAGCCGACTAGTTTGTTTACAGATCCGGATTATTTTTAGCTCTCGAGTAATACTTTGATAATGGGTGGTGTGTTTACGCAAGGCAACAAAAATGCGTCCAGCAAAGTGTGTCACATGGGCTGCAGGGCGGTGTGCTAATTATAATCTTTTAATTCTAAAAGTAATTGATAATCAGGTATTTTTCCCGTGCATCCGTCGCTTCCGCCGCATTATTCCGTGTCTGCCGCTTTTACCGGTAAATCTTTGTTTAGAATCAGCGACAAAAAGTGTAAAATTTGAATAGAATAGTATTGTTATTACAGCGCCACCTTTCAAGCCTATCACGGATAAATTAGAAGTAATCGTAATTGGCCAGAAATATTTTTTGACGCATGAGATGATCTTTTAGATCTTCCAATCATATTATATATGCAAAATTAACATAATTAAACATCAGAGGAAAAAAAACCAAGTTACGCTCGAAATGTTTTCCAGACAACTAGCGAGGGCTATCAAGGTACTTTACGATTCATGCGTTGTCCAAAAGAGACATTCGATCCATACCGTCATTAATTGAACGTAAATTAATGATTTACTACCTATTGTTTTATACCAAAAGCCCGTAACGTTGCCCTTCAATAGGGCACCAGCTCGCTTTTATGCAATCGTTACAAGCGATGTCAATGGAAAAAAGGTACCCATATCCAATTTCGAGCGAGACAGAAGTATTAATTACAAGAAACTTGAAGACAACTTGGCGGTAATTAAAAAACGGTAAGCAAATGAATGAAATAAAAGTGTGTGAACATGGACGCCAACGGAAAGGATGCTTTACAAAATCTGGAGAGTCCGAATCAATTAGCTCGTAAAATATGTCAAGTTGCCAACTTTAAGATTCCCACTTATCCATCTTCTCATTCTTTATTTTTTCCAATGAAAAAAGCCTCAAACGCCCACTTACTCTCTCAGAAAAGATAGTATACGGTCACTTGGATGATCCCGTAAATCAAGACATAGTTCGTGGCACCTCTTATCTTCGCTTGCGACCTGATCGTGTCGCATTGCAAGATGCTACGGCTCAGATGGCACTTCTGCAGTTTATTTCTGCTGGACTTTCGTCTGTGGCTGTTCCGACAACCGTTCACTGTGATCACTTGATAGAAGCTCAGATTGGAGGAGAGCAAGATCTTACACGTGCCAAGGAATTGAATCAAGAAGTGTATAATTTTCTTGCCAGTGCTTCAGCAAAGTACAACATTGGATTCTGGAAGCCTGGAAGCGGAATCATTCACCAGATTATTTTGGAGAATTATGCATTCCCTGGGGGTTTGATGATTGGAACTGACTCGCATACTCCGAATGCCGGTGGATTGGGAATGGTCGCTGTTGGTGTTGGGGGAGCAGACGCAGTGGACGTGATGGCTGATATTCCTTGGGAATTGAAATGTCCAAAAGTTGTTGGAGTCAAGCTAACTGGAAACATTCAGGGTTGGACTGCGCCAAAAGGTATGGTATAAGAACAACTGACGGTAGGGCAATCAGAGAAGGTATAAATCTGGTCGTTGTGACCAACTAGTTCAAACATAATTTGTTTTATTTCTACAGATGTGATTCTTAAAGTAGCTGGTATTCTGACCGTCAAGGGCGGCACGGGGGCAATCGTTGAGTACTTTGGTCCGGGTGTTGAATCTCTTTCTTGCACTGGCATGGCCACAATCTGTAACATGGGCGCGGAGATTGGTGCAACCACATCATTATTCCCATTTAACCGACGTATGAGTGACTACCTCAATGCTACTCGTCGTGGCGAAATCGCCAAAGCATCTGAAGCCTTTGCTCATAATCTTCGTGCTGATGAGGGTGCAGAGTATGATCATATCATTGAGATCAATCTGTCGGAACTTGAACCGCACATTAATGGGCCGTTTACCCCTGATCTTGCTACGCCATTGAGTAAATTCAAAACTGCAGTCGTCGAGAATAAATGGCCAGCAGAGTTGAAAGTCGGTTTGATTGGTTCATGCACTAATTCGTCTTATGAGGATATGAGTCGTGCTGCGTCGGTAGCCAAACAGGCAATTGAGCATGGCATCAAAACTAAATCATTGTTTACTGTTACACCTGGGTCTGAACAAATACGGGCAACTATTTCTCGTGATGGACAGGAAAAAGTTTTGAAAGATGCTGGTGGTATTGTTCTTGCAAATGCTTGCGGACCATGCATTGGACAATGGGATCGCAAAGACGTTAAGAAAGGAGAAAAGAATTCGATTATCACTTCGTACAATCGTAATTTCACTGGACGTAATGACGCTAACCCAGCCACTCACGCTTTTGTCGCCTCTCCTGAAATTGTGACTGCAATGGCATTTGCCGGTGATCTCCGTTTTAATCCTATAACAGATACACTTAAGGATTCTAATGGCAAACCCTTCAAATTTAGTGATCCAAGTGGGTTTGAACTTCCACCTAAAGGGTATGATCCTGGTCAGGATACTTATCAAGCTCCGCCAGAGAGTAGAACGTCTGTACAGATTGCGGTTGCTCCAGATAGCCAGAGGTTGCAGTTGCTTACACCTTTTCCAAAGTGGGATGGTAAAGATGCGGAAAATTTACCTATTCTGATTAAAGTGAAAGGAAAATGCACTACTGACCACATATCGATGGCTGGGCCATGGCTTAAGTACAGAGGTCATCTGGACAATATCTCAAATAACATGTTGATTGGTGCTGTTAACGCTGAGAATAATGCCGTAAACTCTGTTAAGAATGTTCTAACCGGAAAGTATGAATCCGTACCCGATGTTGCTCGTCAGTACAAGGCGAAAGGTAAGGCGTGGCCACGAGTTTTTAATCGATTGTTTGTTTAATTATCATTCTGAATGGATACGGTGATATATAATTTTTGCTATTAGGTAAGAATTGGGTAGTAATTGGAGATGAGAATTATGGTGAAGGATCCTCTCGAGAACATGCAGCGCTTGAAGTACGTCACTTGGGAGGCACTGCCGTCATTGTCAAATCGTTTGCACGTATCCACGAGACTAATCTCAAGAAACAAGGCGTTCTTCCTCTCACGTTTGCTGACCCGTCTGATTACGACAAAATTGACCCTTCCGATACCGTCTCAATCATTGGTCTAACAACCATTGCACCCGGCACACCACTTACACTTCGAGTACATAAAGCCAATGGGTCTACTGTTGATATTACCGTTAACCACACTTTCAACGAGAATCAGATTGAATGGTTTAAAGCTGGCAGTGCGTTGAACAGAATGGCAGAGAAGGCCAAAGCATAATGATCACGGAAATTTTGGTTTGAGACGTTTACAAAATAGTTTTGTTTTGTGCACCGGGATAAAATAAAAAAAATATTTATGACATTGGGCATTCGTTTCTAGTCTCTCTGTTCTGTATTGCAATTATGTATATTTCTTTATTGCAGATATGGAATATGCAAAAATAAAATAAGTATTATTTAATATTCATTTTGGGGTTGGAAAATAGCACATCCGTTGAATTACATATCTTTCCAAAATTTGCGAACGTTGCTACCTACTGTATCTATGTACAATTATTATACAGTATATCATGAACCGTTAAAATTAGATATAAAAGAATAGACTTATAGGAAACATCTTTTTGGATTTTCTTTCTCAAAAATCAAACATCACTTCCAAGCGAACCACTAGTGGTATTCGTACTTGCTTGCCGTTTGGTCTTCTTGGCCCAACGAAGACCACATGCATTGCATAACCTACATAAAAAATATGTAAATTAGATCGGATTGTAGTGAGACGCTGCAAACGGTACAGCCCTTGTTATAATTTTCTGTCGTGCAAATGTCCGTACGGTAAAACATACAAGCATTACTTACGTCTTTGGTCCCTGTGGTCCTTTTCGCCATTCCGGCGATTCGACAGTGCCACAGTCGGTACACACATATTCCTCTTCTTCAACCTTTGGCTTTTTCTAATAATAATCAACACACGCATTTTATTTGGACATTGCGTTTCGTCTCCTTTTTCTACTCCAGTTATAACAAAACGATCCAATCTGTCAATAACAAACAACGCAGACTTACTTTTCTCCTCGATCTCGATGGCGACACACTCTGCTGATCCGAACTCCCCAAAATAGCACCAGCCAGTCTACCATCCATACTAGATAATAAATTCTCCTCTCTATTAGCCGTAATCAAACCAGATGCTGCATCTAGATCCATTAAAGTTTCATTAATCAAATTAGGACTGGCTGATCCCCGTGAAATGCCTATAGCGCGCTCACCCTCCTGTAAACCAGTCAGCATTTCTAATGGATTACCACTAGCACTGTTTATTATATCCAGCACGCTTTTTGTGTCACTCGAAACTCCTTCGTTCTGGAGGTCTGCTGGAACTTCTGGAGGACCCATAAGCTCGCGGAGCTGTCGCTTGAGATTCTCATTCTCTATTTTAAGTTCGAGAAAGGAATCAAGCATTGCTGTAGTCTTTGAGGGGTAGGATCTCCCTATAGCAAAGAAGCATTTGCAAGTGCTAGTACCAGTGGGTCCTTCACTAAACAATGGACGCGCATTAACTTCGAGAATAATAAATTTATCATCCTTTTTGCGGAACCTATAATGAACCGTAAAACTGCTCTTTTGTTGTATACCCATGTTAAAGTCGCGCAAGAACGTATCAATGTCGTCAACATGAATAAAGTCGGCAATGTTGCGATTTACTAGTTCTTCCGGTGAATAACCGACTAGTTCGGTTGACGAAGGCGAACAATACATTAATTTACCGGTTGGCGAGATTACATGCAAGAAATCTTTGAGTTCTTCAATAATGCGCTGTGACCAGTTTTTTCGTTTGGTAAATTCTGTGGTGGTACTCGCACTGGTACTTGCACTGCTACTGCTACCTAATAACGGGACTCCGACGGCTGATTGTAAAGCCAAAGAGTCACCGTGCCTACCACTCAAAGAAGCAACGCTCGACGGGCTCAGAGCAAAGGTTTCTCCTAGGGCCTTATGTTCCATTAGCAGACGTTCAAGGTCAGTAGCCTCGGAATTGTTCATATCGAAATTGTCCATGTTTGACTATTTGAATGCATCTGAATCAGCTGCAAAGACGGGATGGTAGTGCTTATTTTGGAGAGTTCTCCGAAAGGATAGCAGAGTAGTGTGGCCAAAGACAGTTAGCAATGGATATTCAGTGCCTATGAGTTATCTTGTTGGCTAGTGGATGCCCTTTTTTTGCTATGTATGGACTGACCGGTGCAGGATTGGTTGATCCTTGGGCGAGAAGAGTTAAATAACCGCAAACCCTGGATAAACCCGATCATGGCAGAAGTATACCCATATTTAAAATGATCAATCCACTACTTACGGGCCAGTCCAGTCCAAAACAGGCGTTCTTGCAGATGACAACTGTGTGACGATAATAAAATATTTTGTTGTTAACGCTGTTTGGCAGTTTGAACGATCATTGGTGGAATAAACAGATCTAGACCATCACCAAGATTGTGACAAAGCAAACAAAGCAGTAAAACAGAATTTCCACCCGGCTTTGATCGAGATAAGCGATTTCACATGAGAACCAGTAGCTTGTGGGCATTCTCATAATAGAAACAATATAATTAAATGCCATTATTGTTTGTTCCTAATCAGTCATTTGTAAACTTTGTCTCTTTTCGCTCTAAGAGGTTAACTTTAAGCGACTTGATCACATGTCTGAACGATATTTTACGCTATGTAATCGCTCTCGACTATATGCGCTCAACTCGGCCGAATTCGATTAATAAAATAGAATAGTTTTTCAAGTGCGTGCGTTATTAAGATTGGAATAAATTTTATTCGTTATTTCCAAGTTATTTTAGCCTTGTAATGTTCCAATCTCAATTACTTGTTGTAACTAGAAAAAGTGCTATTTTATGACGCGTCGTGTGCGGGAATGTCTCTATTGACTTTGGTTATCAGAAAGACATCAAAAGACGGGATCACTTTGCTTGGCCGAAAAACCTTTTATTGGCGTATCGTCTTAAGAAGCCGACTGGGAGTAATGATATGGGCGAATTGCAAATGCTGACTCGTTTTGGAGACAGCATAACTCGGGTAGGCAGATGTTAGGTTTAGCTATCAATCGGACACACGTTTTTTATGGAGTAGCATTATATCTATGATTTTATTGGAGGGGATTTTCCGGTATGTCGTGCAACGCTTCAACCTGTATTGCACGTGTAATTTCACGAAATTTATAATAACGCCACCAAAAAATTTGAATGGCTGGGAATAAATGTCGAACATTCAGTGTAATAATGGGTATACCAATCGTTACGGCAGGGATCATTAATTGTAACAACAGTCTTAATGATGGCAAACGCCTCCTACTTATCAATAATGCTTTAATCATTTCGTTATTCGAAAACCTGCAGACAAGTTTTTTATTGTCCCATGAATTCGCTATTCATTGGTCCCTCATTATCAAGATATGGTTGTATTTTTTTTTGAAGATAACCTTTTAATGGGTCTAGGCTTAAACACTTCCTATACACTAAATGCAATGTCCATACCCATAATTAGACGCTTTGAAACCCTTTATTTATTCTGCGATTCAACCATATGTTGTAACATATCATTTGCCTAATATTTGATGACATGACTCTCTGTGCAAGGTTGCTATTTACCTAAAGACTTCCATTCACTACTCTCAAAGATCCTGAGAAAATGAAGACTCAACTGAAATATTTCTCAAGCAATCCACTATGTTTAAAGGAGGCAGTTGGCCGCGAACCCGGTACCACAAAATACCAAGTACAGTACTACATTATGCTTCATTCTAGTTTAACAACATAAATCTTACTTTGATAGTACAGTAACAAGCATAAGTATTTGACCGCTCCAGTCTGGGACAGGAACAAATAATTGCCTTGAACATCTCTTGCATATAATGAATGTATAACAAACCATGATCAGAAATTTATATCTAACCAAATTTTATAACTTCTTTTTTATTTTGTTCTCTGCACATTAAATGCAGTATGATTGCTACTACAAAATGCAAATGATAGTGGGAATAATGATACTGATAAATTTTGTGCGTGTTTATTGTCAAGCATAATAACAATTTTCTTCTAATTAGACATGCATTTCAAGAACGCGCACAGATTGATTTAACAAATAAAACAATAACAAATTACGCAAAACCGATTAGAAACATGTGGAGATATGCATTTTGAAGTTTATGTCGAGATAAACGACGTGTGGGCTTTGATATGTTTTTATATGCTTTAGAGGCGAATATTGGGCTGGAATTTTACAGGTAATCACAGTTTGTTATACACTAACTTGATAAATATCAGAGATTGGATTATTCCAATTTAAGATTTTACAGATTATTTATATACAATAAGAAAGTGCTTCTAAATTTAATTTATTGTTGCGGTCGGCGTAATATTTAGGGGTACGAGTGGGAGAGCGACTGAGGCGGTCTACGACCGAAAAATCTCAACCTCGTTTTTACTACAAAGACAATTCAATTAAAACTGAATGCTTGAGATAATAAGTAACGTTTTCTTATTTAATTATGCGCGCTTTGCTCGTTCTATGTAACATTTTTTTGGCAATCGTATCCAAGTAAGAGAATCCGCAAAATAACGACTGTTATTCAACGGAGTCGAAGGGGAAATTAAAATGCTATCTCCTAATTTAAACAGGCAAGGCCTCGATTTGATGTTTTGACTAATGAAAGGATGTCACTTATCTATCCAAACGAATTAAACGAAATAAAATAACTTTTCAAGAATTAATTACAGACTCTCGCCCTTCTCCCTAATATTAATTACGCGTACTGACACCAATGAATAATAACGCGTTTACAACCACTTAATGTCGTTCATATAAAACATTATTGCTAAAGTTTCGTTATGAGCGGTTATTATTCGGTAAGTAATTAATTACATCGACGATGATAGAAATAGAATAAACGGATGTGCGATTTCGAAGGGATCGTTCATCATTTGTGCAAGGGAATTTGGATAAAGCTATGGATCAATTCTGTAACCAGGTGACATGAATGAACCATAACGACACGTGTAACTCAGACACTCTTGTTATATCGAGGGATTTGCCGTGAATAAAAGTTCCTCTAGCAGCAAATTGGCTTGATCACCATCATTGTCAAAGTAGACACCAATGGTAAAAGCTACAAGACAATCAAGAGATGCGGCATATATTGTCTCAACAAAACATGCTGATAATAAGTTGCGCAACTTGGAACTCGTGATTGTCTCGCGTGAGTACTTATCAGAAAACTGAAAGTTTTTAAGAACAAAAACTTCTGACTCAATAAAAAACTAGAACATGAATTTTATGAATTACGCCTTAGCCTGAAATTTCATGGCAGAAGAGTTGGGAATTTCGCTTCTATTTGCTGCAAGAATGAGATACTCCTTACCGCACAATATGGTTGCGTGCGGCAAGCAATAAATAGTATCAAGCAGAATCAATCTGTCTCTTTTGCAATTTTCTGTTATTTTCCTCAAAAACACGCGCCAAACGATGCCAAACGAAAGGCAAGAAAAGAAAGCAAAACTCAGACGGCAAATCAACGCGTCGAATAGAGCTGAATTTGAAAAGACATGCGAAAGCTCTTACAGACCGAGGAATACGTATATTAATATATCAAGAATGGTTCACTGAGCATAGTCATTATATCTGAAGGTACAGTTTTGGTAAACACATAGAAGTACAAATATATCAACTCCGTACTGAAAACACTCCTCCGGCTGTGTCGAATAGAATATTTTGACTATCGAAACGTTTGTTTTTGGTCTTGACACTAGACTTATTTATTTTTTGAGGAGTTGATTTGCAATACGGTGCAAGTTCCACGCCACCAAGCTTGACTAGTATATAATATACTTGAGTGGACGGAGTTTGAGGTTTCGAAGATTAATAAGAAATCGACATTTATAAGTCTAATTGTCAAATGATGACCGATTTTCACGTATTGCTAGAAAAGCATAGGTGACCACCACTCAATAGAATGAGCTTATGGAACAGGAAGAGCTGATAGTGAGCTAGCCTATGCGATAGCACAGATGAGTGAGATAGAGTACAAATGGTTTGTATAAACACATTGAAGGATACTAACTATGTTAATAGCTCACTAGCATTCCTAACAGGTTGATGTAGTTATCAATCATACTTACAGCGAGTGATCAAGAACACTGAGTGTTTATGTATTAATAATCGGTGAATTTTGGATCTTAGATTGTTCGAAATACAAAGCTGCCTGACAAATTCCATTATGAGGTGCTGGATGTCATCTTTCAAAACTTGGAGGCGGACACAAACCCAAGACACATAATAGAACCACATGTTGCAATTATTATCATAGAGGTTGGAAATACTTAGTGAGCCATTTGCCTTCTTGTCAAGCATCTGCTGTATCTCCAAAAGCGCCGAGTGAAGCGCATATTGTATATATAAAGTCAGTCAACTCGAGTCCATATTAAGGATATTTGATTACGCAAACAACTAAGCTCTTATTTTGAAATGTTGAAAGATATATAATCCTTTTGCCGTTTAATATTATTAGGAATGTGATTGGAATGTTAGAATATACAGGGCGTCAGTCTTAGTTCAAAGATTAAGATCATGACTCCTAAGTGCGTCTTCAATTTCGACGTGCTTGATAAAAGTACAAGTACCAGGAATTTCAACATCATTACTGTCTTCGATGTTCCGATTCCAACAAGACAGATGAGATGGCACACATCATACCTGCGAAATACCTACATGTTGGATTTCCCAATTCAAGCACGAAATCTTCACCACCGGTTTCTTGAACATGTTTTATCGGATCTACCAGCTATATGCCCTAATTGCTGCTCGTAGAATCCTTGCAAAGAAATAACAATATCTTTGTTCTTAATCAGATGTTTTAATTCTGAATTGCCGAACAAGACAACAGCTTTCAAAATGGATGATGGGTATCGATAAAAGATAACGTATTACTTGGCTCTGGTGTGCCAGAACCTAGCGTTGAACCAAATCATAGAATGACTTATTTCGAATGTATCTAATTCCAT